CCTCGGCCTCCAAAAATTATCGGAGTGTGGAGCGTGCTTTCGTGCAGTTTTTGGAGGCTGCGAAAGAGTATTTTGTGAACCTGCTTCGAGAACAAAGGCCTTGTGCAACCTGAGGAGTTTTGGGATAGGTCACAGAGGCCAGTCCAAGGAAAAGAGCCCTGCCTGAAGGTAAGTGGTACATGGCAGATCCTGGTGGCCATTGGGCCAGGGGGGCAATGATGGCCTTCCCCAAGGCTTACACACATTGGGGAATGGCATGTGGCTTTTTTTGAGTTGCAGTGGTAGTACTAGGGCTGAAGTCAATGCTTTTTTTTGATGCATAACACATTCATTTTCCCCATGTTTTGAATGTAACTCTCCACATTACCGTGGGATAAGGTTTTTGTGTCTATTTTATCCTGTGCAATGTAACTATGTATTTTATACATATTATTTTCAATAACTTTGCAGTTCACTCTTCGCACATGTGGAGACTAGAACAAAGGCATGCATGCATACCTATCGTTCATCTAACCCTTGTCTCAGCTGCTGTCAGATCAAGCGTTAACCATCCCAATCAGTCATCTAGTAAAGAAACACTCCTGGCCCATCGTTTACACCAAGAGTATAATTTACTAAGTCAAAATGGTTACAGAAGTAGGGTAGCTGAATCTGGCAATTTCGTGCACAAACTACACAATTAATTTTCCCTTTTCCCTAGCCATCACCATGTTATCTAGGTGCTCTCATATTGTTTGGGCAACAGACCCTTCGTTCGTGGGCTTCCCAGCTCAACAGTCCCTTGGGTGACCTTGAGAAGGCTGGCATGGCTTGGTTCCCATTCCCCTCCCCCAGTGGTGAAGTTCAAATTTTTTTACTGCTGGTTCTGTGGGCGTGGCTTGGTGGGCGAGGTGTGGCTTGGTGGGCGTGGCTTGGTGGGCGTGGCAAGGGAAGGATACTGCAAAATCTCCATTTCCATCCCACTCCAGGGGAAGCACACTGCAAAATCTCCATTCCCTCCCCACTCTGGGACCAGCCAGACGTGGTATTTGCCGGTTCTCCAAACTACTCAAAATTTCCACTACTGGTTCTCCGAACTACTCAAAATTTCTGCTACTGGTTCTCCAGAGCCTGTCAGAACCTGCTGGATTTCACCCCTGCTCTCTTCCCCCCCCCCAATTCCTCTCTACATTCCAGTCTCTCCTCTCTCCCCTCATCAGGCTGTCAGCTTGGACAGCCATGACATCCAGCTGGTGACTCTCAGTTGCTGAGATGAGGCTGCTGATGAGACCTTGGGAGATTCTGCCAGTGCAGTAGATGATCACTCAAGGATCAAAAGGGGACATAAGGACAGGGGTGAGATTCGGAGTTATAGCAGGTTTTAGTGTTGGCTTACTCATCAGGATTTAGAACTGGCTCCAGCTTGGTTTTAGACTTGGTTAGCAAATCAGTTTGATAACACAGCTTCCTGTGAAAGTGGATTACTTTAATCAGGATCAAAGCGTTAGAGGCAGTATAGGAGGCAAAGTGTGTTAGAGGAGTCCACAGAACAGACCCAATATTCATCCCCCAAATTTATGTAACCTAGTCTATACGTTCCGTAACCAGTGAAATCTGGGGGCTGGACAGGGGACAGAATGTATCTGCCCTCAGTGTGGAAGGGATTGCCACTCTCGAATTGGCCTTTTTAGTCACACTAGATGCTGTTTTAGGACCTCTTTCCAGAGCACGATACCATAGTCTTTTGAGACTGAAGGATGCCAATGAGTCTATAAGTATTAAACAAGAATGAAAGTTCATCTACCCCAAAAATTCTGCCTCTAATTGGATTTTAGACACATTTTTGTTGAGTGCCTCATTGTACATGCCAAAGTTGTGATCTCATCAGGAGGACTGAACATTTGCTGCCAGCTAGATTTGCCCGGTGACAGGCAATGCATTTCCTTTTGGTGTGTCCTAGTAGATGATAAATTTCTTAGAAAAACAATGCCAACAATGCCTTGGGAATTTTGGCAAAAGCCAGCGGATATTAGAATATGCGATGACAAATATTTTAGATTCTAAATAAAGGATTCTAAAATCCTGTGAATTGGCAGAAGCCAGCCTCTGAAATTTAAATGGCAGTGAGATAATCAAGACCCTTGGAAAAGAGTTAGCACACAAAGAATCCAAAGGCAGTCAAAAAGGTTGGTTCATAATTAAAATCTGCATAACTACTCCAAGGTAGAACATTTTGCGGGTAGATTTTGTGCTCTCTTTCATATAGAGCAAATGGCTTTTCCTAAACTCTGGTTTGTCTTCTGGATAAGCCCCAATTAGCTTAAAACAACACATTAAACTACAAATCATGGTTTGTTTACAAACCCACAACTAAGCCAAACCCAAACAGACAACATTACTATTTAGCACAATGTAAGAGCCTGTAATGCGTCTCATCAGGACTATTTCAAATATTTTCTGTCCCCATCAAGGCAAAGTACCAGAAGAAGCAATGTTGGAAGTATGAACCAGAGATTCTCTACGACCCAGAGGCACCTGGATATTGCTGTTGAACAATGATGGTGAGTTTTAAATTTCCCTCTGCCACGGGTGCTCCAATTCATACCCCCAGATGAAGCATGAACCAGTCTCGACCCTGTACTATCATATCTAATACAAAAATATGGAGTCCAAGATGTGCTTGAGTTTCAGATCTGTTATACAGGACTGAAATTCAGATTTTGGGCCAATGCTATCTTGAGAGCAGCAAGAGCCCATGAGAGCTATCATCACAGCTATTATTCTTATACTGCAGAGGGAGAATGAGGACAGTATGAGAAAATTCTCAATTATAGAAGAACATGTAGAGATGCTGCTTTAATCATAACAGTGCAGCATTCCTGTCCTTGGCCTAGAAATAGACAATAAAATCAAGGCAACAGGTTTCTAGCCAATAACAGGCTGGAAACATATTTGCTTTAAAAAGAGTGGCTACCATACCTCAAAACAAATTTTTTCCAAGGCAAGTTACACCACTTGAATTGCAATGTAAAAAATTAATTAGGCTCATGCTATACGTGCATAAAACATATAACAATAAAGCTGATAGAAGTAAAATAGTAGTAAAATAAGTTCTCTTGCAGTATAATAGTTAAAATATGAACCTATCAAATTGCATCTTTGTTATGGTTATAGACCAGCATATAGAGGGTGGGGTACAGTCAATTAAAAAAGCATAGATGATATATTAAAATCATAAAAAGCTAAAAGATATAAAACAAAGTATGTATACAAAACTAAACTCTAAAAGGATTAGATTAGATGAGCATTCGATGAGTGTAGGGAAGCAGATAAGGACCTATAAATATATGAAAAGCTTGGGAAAATAATAATATCTTGGTGAGTTGCTGGAAAGGCAAGAAAGTAAACATCTAAAGTAGTGAACCTCACTGGGAAGAATATTCAACATCAGCCATTTGCATCCAATTGTTGTGACCGATTTGTTTCTTCTTTCTTCAAGTGACTCAACCTAAGATTACTAGATTTCCAATGTCATCAACAAAAAAGAAAACAGTACATTTCCCTTGGAATTGCTGAAGAGAGGGAGGCTAATTTTCTCTCTCCTTCTCAACAATTTTACTCAATGGGAAACCAGCAATCTGCTAGCAAATTACTAGTGGGTGGGGGGGCGGAAACTTGGGTGCTTTTCTTTTTTTTCCTAATTACTATGCGAGAGCGTCTGTCTGCCTGTTTGTGAGAGGAAGGGTAGAGAAGAAAAATGTTATTTTGATCAATGAGAAACATGAGAGAACGATCATGTATGGGAGAGGCAGCAGTACTAATTCAGCCCTGAACACTCAGCCCAAAAACCTGAGTAGTTCTAAGGCCCAAAAGTGTTGCCCTGTACTATTTTGTGGTTGCAGTTTCCACTGGCTCTGCTAGTTGGAGGAGCATGATGAGAACCATAGTTTAACACTTCTATTCTGAAAAGACCCAGTTTGAGAAAGCTAGTCTACTAAGCTTTCTAGCAATAGCATTTAGACTTATATACTGCCCCATAGTGCTTTGCAGCCCTCTCTAACCAGTTTACAGAGTCAGTTGCTTATTGCCGCCAACAGTCTGGGTCCTCATTTTACTGACCTCGGAAAGATGGAAGGCTGAGTCAACCTTGAGCCGTTCAGAAACGAACTCCTGACAGTGGGCACAGTTAGCTTGCAATACTGCATTCTTATCATGCGCCACCACCAGGGCTCTTATATTTATATTAAAATTTAAATACCATTTATTTATGGTCATTAATTGGTCTGTACTAATAGAGACACACTTAAAAGAATAAAATCACTTACACACAGTGGTGAAGAGATTGTAAAAAAATGCTTTTAAAAGCCTCTGCCGATCAGGCCACTCAGCTTGGATCGTCAGAGGCATTTAAAAGAAAAAAAGGGTTTTTTTCTTTTAAAAGCCTTTGATGACCCCAGCTGAGCCGCGCGATCATCAGAGGCTTTTTATTTTACTTTTAAAAGCATTTTTTCGGCCAAAGAGGTTGTAGAAAAAATGCTTTTAAAAGCAAAAAAAAAAAGCCTCTGATGATTGTGCGGCTCAGCTGGGCATGGGGGGGGGCAGGGATTTTTGCTACCAGTTCTCCGAACCACCTGCCTCCATCGCTACTGGATCAGGCGATCCGGTCTGAACCGGGAGCATTTCACCCCTGCTTACACAGCTCTAAAGTACTTTTAAAGGGTAACATATTCATAATGGCAATTTTTGTCTACCATGCCATAATCTAAAGCAATACTTTTTGCTATAAGAGGCTTGTGGTGGTAAGAGGCGGGGGTAAGGGGGGGTTAAGATCAACATTATTGATCACATTTTGAAGGTACCCATATCCAAAACGTCCCCAAGTGACATCACAAGACTGAAAAGCAAGAATAAGCAATAGCCCTTAGACTTATATACCACTTCATAGTGCTTTAAAGCCCTTTCTAAGTGGTTTACAGAGTCAGTATATTGCCCTTAACAATCTGGGTTCTCATTTTACTGACCTCGGAAGGATGGAAGGCTGAGACAACCTTGAGCCGGTGAGAATTGAACTCCTGGAGTGAGCAGTGAGTTAGCCTGCAGTACTGTAATCTAACCGCTGCGCCATCACGGGTCTAAGAAGAAGAAAAAATGTAAGAAAGAATAGATTTACTCCAAGGAAACCGATTTTAAAATGTTAAATAACATGTCCCAAAAGATCCTGAATTGAAATTTACATTGTAAACTCCTTTGGGCAGAGACCTACGTTTTAAGCTACTATAAATCAATATAAAAGTAATGTTTGCTTGGTGCTGAGTTTGAGGCCTGGCAATGTTGTGGGTGTGTCCATGTGGGTATGTCCACCTGGCAGCAACACAGAAGTTGTCACTGCCTTTTTCTGAGACATCATTTTCAATTTCCCAATCTAATCCACACCTGTGGCGCTTCCATTTCCAGCTAGTCTCCCAATCAGACACTTAATAGGTGGGACTTTGCTTAACTTTTTGAGTTTGTCCAAGGTCAGTTAGGACTGTTCATATAAATATAATGTCACTAAATCAAAATCTGGCCCAGTGTTGAATTGATTCTGGGCAAGTATTCCAGGAACTGATGTGCTTTCTCACTTTGGAGATGGTGTGGAGGTGCAGTAAAAAATGATTTCCCTTTAATTTCTTAACTATGCAACAGTTTTAAAATATTGCTCTTGCAGTCACTTTGGCTACAACTGCTGTTCCAGTAAATAATCAACATTCTCAATATATTTTTTCAATTTATTCAATCAGTGAAGTTCCCATGAGAGCATATTTATCATACCTTAACTATTGACAGTTACATTTTCTCCACAATGGGGCGTGCAATTGTTTAATTGCTTTTTTCAGAGCTGTCTTCCTAAAGCAAAAGGTTCTTATCTCGGTAGAATAACCCTTATTATCAAGAAGGAGGAAAAAGGAAGAAGTTGTTGGTGCTTTGGCTCAGATTTCTGGAGATACACTACACACCAGTGGTGAGTTTCAAAATTTTTTACTACCGGTTCTGTGGGTGTGGCTTGATGGGTGTGGCATGGCTTGGTGGACGTGGCTTGGTGGGCATGGCAGGGGAAGGATACTGTAAAATCTCCATTCCCTCCCCAATCCAGGGGAAGGTTACTGCAAAATCCCCATTTCAGTTGGGACTTGGGAGGCAGAGAATAGATGGGGACAGGGCCAGTCAGAATTTTTACTACCGGTTCTCCGAACTACTCAAAATTTCCGCTACCGGTTCTCCAGAACTGGTCAGAACCTGCTGAAACCCACCTCTGGTACACACCAATGAACTCCTGTTCAACATGAAGGAATTTTTATCCAGTTTGCATCAGCCAAGATGCAAAAATCTTGTGTCCCAATCTTGTTTCTGCAAGGATGTGTTCCAAAAATCAGGCCACAAGTTCACATCCTTGCAGAAACTGTCTCTCTCTCTCTCTCTCTCTCTTTTTTTTTTTGGAAGAGGGGGTGCTCAGTTCTTTGCTCACAGAATTCGTAACAATTCAGCTCCTAGAAGTGATTTCCATGTCAATGCATCCCTCCACTTCATCTGAATGGGCTCCTCTGTTTAACCAGTCACTTCTTCAAGAGCAAAGATGGTCACAGACATTATGCAGACTCTTCAGTCTGAAATGAGACAACAGGGTTTTTTTCCCCCTTCCCTTTCACAATGGATCAGATCAGTCTGAAGGAACACTTCAGCCTGCTTACAAGAGGCAGATAATTCATGGAAAAAACCATCAATAAGGCCTTCAGGCTTTATAATCCTCAAACTTTGGCCTTCATTTGTCAAAATCATGGCTCAGGGCGGCTAGAATCAGGTACATGCGCTACATTCAGGACAAATTGTTCAAAAGGTTGCCTGATGTGGAGTAAAACAACACAAAGCAACCAAGTCAGGGTATTTGGGGCGGAGAGGGTGTCCCAAAAACCAGGCCACAAGCACCATCAAAACCTTATCCTTTTTTTTTTACTTATTTATATTCCAACTTAATTATTTTTATAAATAACTCAAGATGATAAACATAGCTAATCCTCCTTCCTCCTGCTTTTTCCCCACAACAACAATCCTGTGAGGCAGGTTGGCCTGAGAGAGAGAGAAAGACTGAGCCAAATTCACCCAGCCTAAGGCAGGACTAGAACTCACAGTCTCCTGGTTTCTAGCCTTATGCCTTAACCAGTAGACCAAACGGGCTCTTTTTCTTTTAGTGCACAGTGCATGTATAAAAGGGGAGGGGCTTCGATTCCACAAGGGCAATCAACCATCCTGACTTCCTTTATCTCCTCCATCTTCCTCCCTGCATATGACTCCGCCCATTTCTGCAGCTCTCAGAGAGACATTTTTAGGGTGGTTTGCTTGAGCGGATTACAGAATTCCCTGAATAATCCTGACATTTTGAGTTTGAATCTGCAGTTTACAGCAAAAGCTTTGTTCTTCAAAGTTAAATGGAAACACAGAGCACCCATCCCGTGTCTGGACTATGGTAATAACAAACTCGCACCCGCCCAGCAATTAAGCACAGTTTGGATCAGCAAGTCCATGTCCAAATTAAAATTAAAGGTATAATCATAGAGCAACGTACTTGTCTCAGAGAGAAGTTATACTCCCTTTAGCTTGGTCATGTACAAGCTAGTTGGCTAGTTGCTTCACTGAAAGTTGAACTCTGTCATTAAAGAAGCAAAGTAAGAATCCCAAGACATTTTTCTTTACCAAGGCACCTGCAAGAACCCAATGGGTTGTGCGTCATTAGAATATGCATTTTGGTAGCATGCTGTGTGTCATCCACCACAGGTTGCTGTAATGTGTGTGTGTGTGTGTGTGTGTATGATGCTATCTATATCTATATCTCCCGGTGGTCCTCTGGGTGCGATTAAAGGTGTTGGTGACCACCTTTAGAGCGCTCCATGGCTTAGGGCCTGGATATTTACGGGACCACCTTCTGCCACCGAGAGCCTCCCACCGGCCAGTATGCTCCCACAGAGAGGGGTTCCTCCGGGTGCCGTCAGCCAAACAATGCCGACTGGCGGCCCCCAGGGGGAGAGCTTTCTCTGTGGGAGCACCTGCCCTCTGGAACGAGCTCCCCCCGGAGATATGGACAATTCTGGACTTACGTACTTTCCGTCGGGCCCTCAAAACTTTTTTATTTCATCAAGTCGGGCTGGCCTGATCTCTCCAATTGTGTATTTTAATTTGGATTTTTAATGGGGGATTTTAACTGTCGGGCCAAAATGTTTAATTTATTTTTAAATTGTTTTTAAATTTTGTATTTGATGTTTTTTACTTCTGGCTGTTCACTGCCCTGAGTCCTTCGGGACAAGGGTGGTATATAAATTTAAATATTAAATAAATATTAAATATTAAATATTAAATATTAAATATTAAATATTAAATATTAAATATTAAATATTAAATATTAAATATTAAATATTAAATATTAAATATCTATATCTATGTCTGTCTGTCTGTCTGTCTGTCTGTCTATCTATCTATCTATCTATCTATCTATCTATCTATCTATCTATCTGATGCTTACTAGTTGCCCATACAATGGGAAGCTTTCAAAGGATTGATGTATTGGTTTGCAATCATTTTATAACATACAGTATATAACATGCACTTTGAAGAGAGAATGAAGAGGGAACAATAATGCCAACTCCAGATTTTCTTTCCGCATACATAGTTAATGGTTTATCACCACATTTGGGCCATCATCTACGAGAATTCATGGGTCATATATGCCTTGTCATTATCTAAAATAAACTCTTTTAGATATAAAGTTCTAAGAGATAACTGAAACCTAGATATGATTACTTTGAGGCAAAATTTGCTGATTATGCCACAATGATTGGCTCATATGTAACACTAAGCCATACTGAAGGGGTTCCCAAAATATATGAAGCCAACATTAAACAAATCAGAATACAAGCTGGAATAAGGCTTGAAGCCAGAGTATTTCCTTATTTGTCAGAATACAATGACGCAGCATATATGACCCATGGAACTATGGTTTGTTTGCCCATGGTTTCTTCAATTAAATACCATCAAACAGGTTCACAAGAACTTTAAGCTATAATTCATACTTGACAAACCACAGTAAATGGATGTGTTCAAAAATAGGCTATGCTAAGACTGGAACTATCAGTTGGGTTGCAAAAATCCAAATGGCCATTACTGGTGGCAACTAAGTAATGCAGAGTGCATTACTTACTGCCTTTGTTGCCAGTTGGTGGTCACTGAGAGTTTTGTAGCCCAGATGGGCATCCATATCATGTGAGCCTCGCCAAGTAGTAGACTAGTAGACACTGGCCATCAACATCTTCAAACACATCTGAGTTTCCAAACATGGGGTGACAACATGAATTCCAAAACTTTACTTGGTGAACCATATTTGTTCACCAAGTAAACTTGGTGAGCTTGAGGACAATCTCTTCCAAGGTCGGTTGGCATGTGGTAGACTCACAGACGCTTCCCAAAGAAGTCAACTTACAGCTCAGATTTCTATGCCATTGAGTTTGTTTGGCTTCTGTACAGCCCTGTCAGTATCTCCTGGATATAAAGTTTGTAACTCTTAACTTATTGGTTACTAAGATGGTAGAAGATGCTCTGGTCCATCTGGTATATTAGACATATGATAAAAAGAAGAGGGGTTCTGATTACACAATTGCAGGTCCCATTTTGACTTTCCCACACAAGTCCTTGTTCAATCCGGTGTGCATTCCAAATGCCAGATTTTCTAAAGTGGCTTGGATTCAAGGCATTTAAAGGCTTTCAAGATAATTACTAGCACACTGTGAAACAAATTGGCAGTCAGTATAATGTTTTTAATACCTGAGTAATTATGTTAAAAATGACTCTGGAGACTGCAGGCAGACTGCCACCTTTTGAAATGTTTGAGTTTGAATTAGCTGAAGTTTCTAGACCGCTTTAAAAAAGGCTTATGCAGCATGCGGGGCTGGATTTAAGTTTAAAACCAGACTATCAGATGTACCTGTTTAAGATCCTTTTCTTCTAAAAGCAAATGTAGCTGAGAAATCAGCCAAAGTTGCTAAAACAATCTTTGGCTTTTGACTGAAGTCTCCTAATTGCTTTTTGGATTACTGTAACCCAGGGGTGT